ATTTTGGGGTTAGGTGCACTTTAAAGCAGGTGTTCAAGTCTGTTAACGGTTTTCACTTAAGTTATCTTTAACTTTCCAAGATTTTCATTGTAACATTTAGAATATAAAACAGAACTAAGGGTTTTGAACGGAAGTCAAATGTATAATGGAATTCAATGTTGTAATAAATCCCAACCCAGAGCTACTGTTTTGCCTCTTCAATTTTTATGCAAAGTTATTTTTTGTGCATTTAAATCTTTCCCTTGGAGAGGGGCTATTACCTATAATGGACTAAGCAAGGAGGCTCCAACAGAAATTGGTACATTTAACAGGCTGGAGGTGTATTAAACAATTATTCCATGATTGCACATTGGATATGAGATGGTAGATAGCCAATGAGGTGTGTAGCGCCCAGTTGGCCAGAACTATCTCATATCCAATAAGCAGGATACCCAATGAAATACCTCAAAATTGGCCACAATCATTGAGAAAACAATGCGTACACCTAACATATTTGTGGTCCATGGTATTTGAGGCCATAATACCTTTGCCTGTTTACCAATCAAAAAACCGGGTAAATGAATTCACGAGGCCTAGTGTTCATCTGCTATTGCACCCTCTAGTCTTCTCACAAGAATATCTTTGTTGGCTGTTGTACAAAGTCTCCTTGCACAGAGTTCAGTCCTAAGTTCATCGACTTTCATGTCTTTTGGTGCCTTGTAGACTGCTCTTATCTGTGGTTGGGATCCATGGGAGGCCAAGTGTGATGCCAGTGTTACTTCATCTGCAAACTGGTTCTTGCATACACTACATCTTACAGGCTTCAGAATGTTGAGGATCTTTGGAGAGAGTTGTTTGTTCTGTGCACACAGAACAACTTCCAAACTCTCAAGGCAATTGACACGACAATCAATGTTGTCTTCCTTCTTTCTGCCACAACTGCAATAGCACTCGAGGTTACAGTGGGGTGGAACACAGGATTTAAAATGTGAGCTGTAACAGCTGGGCATGGGCTGATGTTCAGGAAGGTAGAAACTATGTATGTAATTTGCTCACATGACCTGCCACCATTTCCCAGTTCCATCTGCTTTGTTAGATCTGTTACTTAAAGCTAGATCAGACTTAATCCCTGAGTGTTTGGCTTCTTTAGCCTGCAGGAAGATTATTCCATACCCTATTCTGTACTTGTCATATATCTTCAATGCTTGATAGGGGACTGCATAAGCTATTGTCCAGGTAGAAACATTGACATAACTGGGAAAAAACAGACAGTACAAATTAAAGTAGAGTTGACAGTATTCCTTGAGCTCTAGTACTTCAGCTTTATTTGTTGACACTTTGTTTAATAATGTACAGGTCTGTCATAGGTAAAGTACAATCCTACCCAAGGCCAGAGTCCTCAAATGCTGGGCAGGTGAATCATCAGCGCATTCCAAACCATCAATCAACCAATACCCATAACGGCCCAGGGAAATAGCTTGATCACCAATTAGTAGTGTTGGCAGCTGATTGTACCTTTTGTTTTCATCAGCATAATGTTCCTTTATAAAAGGTACAAGGTACCCCAGACCACAGCCTGGCTTACCAGCTTCTGGTGTTTGGTGCCTGTCACAGGTATTTTCCATGTGAGTGACTAGCCTCTTGTTAGCATGTTCTGCAATTTCTAACCTTGAAACTCTTTCCCCAGCACCTAGCTAACAAATGATAACATTAAGAACTTTAGTGAATAGTGTATTTTTTATAGCTATGCAAAACAATCAGGGACATAAAGTTGTTAAGCTCGGATAAATTGAACACATGCAAGTTCAAATTACTGGTAATAACTATTTTACAAAACCAAAGTCTTTGAGAATCTCTTACCTGAGGTTTTAAGGGTCAATACTTTAATATTAATAATGCATGACTGTATCTTGCAGTAATACTTAGTAGAGTCTTTTAAAGGTTGTTGTCATAAAGTTCACCATTAAAGACTTCATAAGATAATTAATAATTTTCACATTGAATTCAATATGCCATGTT